TTGGTCGTGGCTGTGTGAGTGTGTGTCATTGTGGCTGTGGTCAGTCTCTTCGCCCAGCAGGTGGAGCTTCTTCTCTCTCTCAGCAGCCTGGAGAAGAGATAAAGAGTACACAGTACATTACAGTAAAGCAAAATCCAGTGGCCCTGTGAATAAGTGCTTACAAAATCTGACCTTCAAATTTAATGGTGACCAAAATGAAGCTGTCTTACACATGTTTAAGAAAAAGGTATTTAAAAAAAATTAAGTCAAGATGGAAGAATTATAATCTGAACTTCTGCTAATGGCCCCGTAAGGATTCTATGATTTGATCACAATCTATAGTGACTACCGGATGAAAGCTAATCACTGCATTTCTCATAAAAAGTCAAGTGAATTTTTACCACTATTTTCATTTTTCTTTACAGTATTAATTTGGAAAAACTCCTCTATTGTAATTGTTGGTGATTGTTGGAGTTGCTTTTTTTTTATTATCATAGGGTCTTTACAACATAAAGCACCTCGAGGTCACTGTTGTTTTGAACTGGTGTTATATAAATAAAATATAAGGAAATTAAATCGAATCATTCAATGATATTTTGATTGCCCCGGTGAGAATTTAGCTGTATCATCCGATTTTGTAATGTTAGAGCTTGAAACAGTCTAGAGCACAAACAAGATATCAACTTTTACTTTAAATGTTACGACTGTAAAGATGACACTGTGTAAGGTGGACTAGCTGGATCCTGCTTTTCACCATCCTACCAAGCACCATTGTTTCAAAGTAAAACCTGCCACTAACTAAGCAACGGAGAAATTCTTCTGGTTCCTGTGGCATCACAGTTTACAAGTTGTATGTAGAAGTATGATGGACATTAGGAAAGAAAAAAAAGTGTTTGACATCACAGGTATAAAATCAAAATAAAACTTGACATACAGAGGAAGACTTGCTGTCCAATAAAGGAAGCAACCAACAGCTAGGACAAACACAAATTCCCTGTTTTGTAGTTTTTCCTAATTAGAGTCAACAGTTTGTGTTCATTTGTTCAAGATCAGAAGAGGGAGACAAAAGTTTCAAAGGTTTTATTCTAATAAATTAGACTCCATCCTGTATGTTTTCTGTGCTATTGAAAGATGTTAAAAAAAAATACAGAGATCATATCCTGATAAGACTTACCTCAGGCTCATAGATCTCACAATCTACGTCGATCATTTCATTAGTGGGGCAGTGGTAGAGGGCTGTCATGCAGAAGCCCTTGTGCTGAGGAGAGAAAAAGAGGAACAAAGAGCAGAGAGGAACGCCCATTTTACTAAGGTTTAAGAATTAGAAAAACTGAATGTAGGAATAATCTCCTGCTGATGTAAACTAGCCAGTAATATAAAGCTAGAACACATCCTTGCTCGAGGCTTGACTGTAAACAGAGGACTTTGCTTGTAGTGATAAAAACTTATAGCCCCCTGATTGGAGAAGCCACAGTGGAGTAATTTCATCAAGAAGTTTGATCAAAATTTCTCATTTAAGAAATTCAGTTCAGATAAAATAAAAAAGTTGTGAAGTGTTTATCTTGACTCACGGCGAACTCGCAGTTCATGAGGGGGCACTTCTCAGCTGTTGCTTCTGCGCTGTTGGGGCAGATGGTCTCCTGGATGCTGAATTCCACATTGTAATACGTACTCAGGGCCATCTGAACACACAAATAAACAAACGTTTAATTGAGAAAATCATTTGCAGAGGAATTATTAAGTAATCTAGAGTGGTGGGAATAAAAACTGTTGAACATGAAAAGTAGGCCCATGAGGTTTGATGGAAAGCCAGTATTTAGTCATTTATTGATAAAGATTTTAGATTAACCTCTAAGAAGAATATTTTTGTTCGATTTCAACTAATCTCTGGTGTCAGAAATTCAGTCACAATATTCTCAGCCTTGACACTGTGTGTTATGGAAGTTAAGTTGATAGGATACATTATGTCACATGTGCTGATGTTCCTTTTGGAGGTATGGTAAGCTTACCCCTGCTGCAGCACGGAAGATTTTGAGGAGAGCAAAACGATTGGCGAGTTCGCTTTCATTGTTGAACTTTTCCAGAGAGTGGGACACAGTCTTCTGAATGTCGTTATTGTCGTGGTGAATTAAAGTTGAGCAGCCAGGACACATCTCATGTACTCTAGCTGCAGGAACTGAGCAGAACAAAAATTGTCTTCAAATTTTCATAAATTTTGTGGTGTGCAAAAAAAGCACTGTCTCAGATTTTGACATGTAGTGCCAAGTGTTGC